TCTTTCTTCTTTCTTCTTTATTCTTTCTTTCTTCTTTCTTCTTTCTTCTTTCTTCTTTCTTCTTTATTCTTTCTTCTTTATTCTTTCTTCTTTCTTCTTTCTTCTTTCTTCTTTCTTCTTTCTTCTTTCTTCTTTCTTCTTTCTTCTTTCTTCTTTCTTCTTTCTTCTTTCTTCTTTCTTCTTTCTTCTTTCTTCTTTCTTCTTTCTTCTTTCTTCTTCTTCTTCTTCTTCTTCTTCTTCTTCTTCTTCTACTACGGGGCTTGAGGAACCCCGAAGGGCCCCCCGCGCGCTGGGCGCGCCCGGATCACGTCCAGTCTCGGTGAGACTTTCGTAACAGGGCGTGTCCCGATATTGCGGAGTTCCCCGTAATCCCTGAAACCCCTTTAGATGAGCTAGAATCCCGAAGACATCCTGAAATGTACCCGCTGAGGGCCCTCCATCGCGACACTGGGCTGTCCCCTGTTGGTGACACTGCCGGTGCTCCGGTGCGTATGCAGTTGCTAGTCCCCCCTCTCTCTCTCTGTCTCCCAAGCCCCTCCCGTTTGGCATTCAAGTGATCTACTACTTGCATCAGAAGCGAGTCACCGCAAGCGACCATAGATCCCCCATCTCTCAAGCGGGCACGTTGGACCAGGTGGCCTACTTCTGAGGGCGGAGCCACTACAAAAGAGAAGCGATGCCCGTCCACTTCCCCGCTCCTCTACGGTGGGTCAGCGTCCACTCGATCAGCGTCATGTGTTAGGCCTATCAGCCCGGAGCCGCGGGAGGAAGACGCGGCCATGCCCGTCAACTACCCCGCAACCTGCATTTTCTCTCTCTCTCTCTCTCTCTCTCTTTCACGCATTTTTTTGTTTTTGCTGTTTCTCTCTCTTTCTCTCTGCTTCTCGACATATCAGTCAGGCCTTCACATTCTCGATCGGACATGTATGCCTTCGCTGCCAACGTGCTGGCAAAGGAGAAAAAGCGGGCGTCACCACCTGAGGCATTTTTCGGTTTTGAGTGAGGACTTTTGACACGAGCTCATGCTGAACTTGTAGGGTTTCTTTTAAGCTTTCGATTTTGTTTGTCTTGAGTTCAGACTCGTCACCCTTGGTAGCTCGGAGATTTTTCTCCACGACGTCGTACTCGGTGTTCAGCATCTGCTCCAACCGCTCGCGCGTGACGTAACGGGAGGCCTCAGAGAGAAGACCAAAAGCCGATCTCCCCTCTCAACCGCAATGAAGAGGAGTCTCTTACTATCAGAAACTCTACAGGAAGCTCTACTTCTCCTTTCCTCGAAGAGCTACTTGTAGTAAGGCCCGTTTTGGCCCCACTTGCCCGCATCTCGTGAAGTCCTTTTTTCCAGGCCACGGCACCTTGCCGTAGTCCAAGTCGGACATCTTCATGTCGTAGGCAGATATGGACCGAGCCACGGTGCCGGCAGCGGCTCCCGCTTGCAGGAAGGTGCGGGACACCTACAAAACCAGTTGAAAACACTCAAAAAACTTTAAGAACAAGGAGAAGAACAACCGAAAGAACAACCCAAATTTTCCCAAGCACGAAAGCCCGTCCTCCTGCCCGGCTCCGATCTCCGCGAAGCTTCCGTAGAAGTTGCTATCCTCAAGGCTTTGAGGGTTCTGGCATGGCCTGTCAACCCGGGCTTTGGAGCAGAACCTCCTCGAAGAACGTTTTTCCGTGTGTCTGTGGAAAGGGGGAAGGTTGGACTATGCGACTCCAAGCCACAAAACAACCGTGGAAACTGCACGCATGTCGTATGTTGATTGCCTGATGATTGCACCAAGCATCCAGGTTTACCACAAGGGCCTTCTCCGCTGAGCTGCCTGGCTTCTGAGTTGACCGTCTGTATGAAACTGAGCGATAGGGCGTAAATGGTCCTAAATGGCCCAAAATGGCCGAAACAACAAAACGTGATCCAGAAAGCGTCCTCCTACTCACGAATTTTGGCCTCATCAGACCTTCTCACCCATCGCTTCTATACTCAAGGAACTGCGGAGCATTCTACAAAGTTTCCACCCTCTCCACCCTTCCACTGCACCCTCTCCACCCTGCCTCTCCTCCTCTTAAACTCGAAAATCCCGAAAGCAACACCAACCCTGAAGCACAACATCCGGACACCCCAAAGGCCTCCCAGGTGCACCAGCTTCGCTAGCTGCGAGGCCTTGCTGGCCCCGTGCCGCAGAACACGGGACCTGGCCTTCGGAACCTTCGGGTGGAGATGTCTTAGGCGGATGGAGGCGGTTCAAGGAATACCGGGAATACCGCCCTCAAAAGGTGAGAGTGCGTCAGAGCGAGAGCTCGCATCGTGCCGTTCAGAATGAAACAAACAGTTAAATGCGTCTGGATCCTGGGTCTACAACCCCTTTTAGATCCTAAGTCCTAACCAATTCCGAAATTTCCCACCCACCCGACAGCCTGAACAGAGAAACGTGCCTGCTGTGCAGAGCGGCGGTGTGCAGCACCCGCGCCGAGGAGCGCCGAACATGCCAGGGGCAGGGCCCCGCTGCCCTGGACTCAGCGTTAATTTTTTTTGCATTGAAGTTTCCGTCACTTGAGCCTAGCACAGCTTAACAAACTTGCAGATGAAACCTCTCCTGAACAAAACTGACATCCGACGCTTGTGCCCCGAACCTGTGATTTTCCCGATGCCCGGTCCACACGTGCCCACCGCGTTGGAGGTTGGGCAGACGCAGTGGCACTTAGTGGTGCCTGCAGGCAGAAGGCAGTCTGCATGCAAATCAATTTTGCGTTTATGCGGTGGCGTGGATGAAACTACGTCTGGCAATAACGCACCCTTGAGGCGTTTTCGTGCCGTGCAAACTGATTCAAAAAGTTTGCACCGAGGAGATTATTTCAACTCAAAGCAGCTGGTAGTGACTGCGACAACCAAGATGTTTTATCGTGCAACCGATCATCCAACCTGAACAAAAGCAAGCGCCATGGTTCACTGCACACACGGGCAGGACCTTGGCAGAATGCTGACAGTACAGCTTGGGCCAAAGAATGGCGAACCAGACACACTCCATGTCCCTGCCAGAACCTGTTCAAGAAATTCGCAACAATCCACGATCTTTTGTTAACACAACATTAACACGCAGCCTCCTGTTTCAAAGGGCTTGGTAACACATGCATCCTTGCGAGACATTCGTTATGATTCGCTATGTTGCCAACAGATGCACGTCATATCTTCGTTCACACTTGCTGCTCGAGAACAAAATGTGGCATGAACGTAAGGCTGGTGCAGCTTGTGGGAGGCTCAGGAGGAAAATGCCGTTTTGCAAGGCTTTCGGGTATGCAAGATTGGGTTTCTCTGGTACAGGTGTTAGGCCGGGCTTTGCGTCTGGGGAGTATATCATGAATTTATGTTATGGGCCTTTGGTTTCGGGTTGTTGCTCCCCTCCCTCGTTTGTCTTTCGTCCTCCATGTTCATTCCAAGATATTTTGATATCTCTTGCCTCATCCATTCCATCAGTTCTCGCCTCAACTCTGGCTCCATCTTTTCCGTCATCATTCCCATCGTCACCTTCCTCGTTTTGTTCCCACCAAACCCTATCATAGCCCTTATGGCCTTGTGGTTTCACGTATAGCCAGCAATTGCGCGACCAATCAACTGTTAAGCCACGGGCGCACGTGCCTTTTCCCAGCAACATGCAAAAGCAAGCTATCATCCAAAGATCAACAACACCGACATCACCCAGAGATGTTGCATCAGCGAAGCACCGCTATGTGCAAACCGGCAAGTGGCCTTGCACTGCACGTGCATTGTTAATATTGCAATGTATGGCAAAGCTCGGAAATGTTTTCACCTGAATTCAAGTCGGCTTCTTGTCGGTCGCCGCACAGCGGGTTGAGACAAAGTAAAATTCCAGCGGGGACTCACAAAAGAAACATGCAATCAACAGATCCGGAAAAACCCGACTGTCACTCTACCGCTCACGACTGCAGCGATCGTAGTGCCGGGTTCCTGCGTGTCCCTTGCCACGGCCTTTCCCTTGGCTGTCCGCTCTTTCTCCTCCTCCTTCTTCTCGGCGAAGCGTGCGACCCAATTGGCGAGATCCGCCCTGTCAGCGTGAGGCGCGAGGCGCTGCCTCACCAGCGAACGTGAGGAGGGTCTTGACGGTCATTAGTAATTGTAAGATCGAACTCGCACAACGCTACCTGTTAAGAAAAGCACCCAGACCTAGCCGAGCCACTCAAACGCAAATGGCGGTCTTCGGCCACAAGCTTGGCTTGTACAACATCGCCGCCCGAGCAGGTGAAGAACGTCACCCTCACCAGCTCATTCGCCGCAGAATGCTCAGGACCCGTCACGCACTGCTCTGCATTTGTGGAACTTGTTCGTTGATCCCGTAAACCCACGGGGAAGAAGGGTCCCCAAACTCATAGTCATACACAGGCTGGCCGTCCCATTCCTGCATGCCCCAGCAAGTGTACAAGAAACAAAACAAAAACGAGGATGTTGCACAAGAAACAACAAGACAAGAAACGAGGGGGTGGAATTATATTAATTTTCTACTTCTCTGATTTTCGAAGAATGAACGCAAGAAACAAAGAACGAGAAACGAGGGGAGACTTCCTCTCCACTTCACTTTCTCGAATAATAAACACAACAAAAAAAGGAAACGAGGGGATGGAATTTAATTGAATTCTCTACTCCTCTAATTTTCGAATAACTTCTCTACTTATTCTCTGCCTTTGGAATATAAAGAAAAGAAACAAAAACCAAGAAACGAGGGGTGGTGGAATTTAGACTAATTCTCTACTTCTCTACTTCTTCTCGGCTTTCGAACAATATAATCCAAGAAACAAAAACAAGAAACGAAGGGGGGTGGAATTTAGATTAATTCTCGACTCCTCTAATTTTCGGAAAATGAACACAACAAACAAAAACGAGAAACTAGGGGGTACTTTGGAAGAATTCTCTACTTGTCTACTTGCTCTCTACTTCTCAAATTTTCGAGAAATGAACACACCAAAAAAAAAAACAAGACTTGGATTTTTTTGCCTAACGGCAAAATGGGGGTGCGAAGCACTCTCCCGCTATGTCTGTAGCCTCCGAGAAAAATTGCGCAAGAAGCAGAACAGAGAACTTACAGTTTCAGAATCCATCAGTTGCAAAAAAAATGTAACTCGACGTCTCAGCTGCAGTATAACAAAGTAAACCAAAACCTCCGGTCTCTAGAAGCCGCCAGCGTCAAGCGTCAAACGATTCACAAATATATAGAAGCCGCAAGGGTCAACGATTCACAACACTATAGAACAACAAATATACAGAAAACATACAAAAGCAAAATCAGAGACAAACAAAGAGCCAGAAAAGAGGTCAAGAAAAAATGTAACGCAAACCAAATCAAAAACAATTTTGCACTCAAAACATGTTTCAACAATATAAGCAACCACTACAGCTACTGCTACTGCTACTGCTACTGCTACTTCTACTACTGCGACTGCTACTGCTACTACTACTACTACTACTACTACTACTACTACTACTACCACTACTACTACTACTGCTGCTGCTGCTGCTGCTGCTGCTACTACTACTACTACTACTACTACTACTACTACTACTACTACTACTACTACTACTACTACTACTACTACTACTACTACTACTACTACTACTACTACTACTACTTACTACTTACTACTTGCTACTTGCTACTTGCTACTTGCTACTTGCTACTACTACTTACTACTTACTACTTACTACTACTACTACTACTACTACTACTACTACTACTACTACTACTACTACTACTACTACTACTACTACACTACTACTACTACTACTACTACTACTACTACTACTACTACTACTACTACTACTACTACTACTACTACTACTACTACTACTACTACTACTACTACTACTACTACTACTACTACTACTACTACTTACTACTACTACTTACTACTACTACTACTTACTACTACTACTTCCTACTACTACTTACTACTACTACTTACTACTACTACTTACTACTACTACTTACTACTACTACTTACTACTACTACTTACTACTACTACTTACTACTACTACTTACTACTACTACTTACTACTACTACTTACTACTACTACTACTTACTACTGCTACTAGTTACTACTACTACTACTACGACGACGACTACTACTACTACTACTACTACTACTACTACTACTACTACTACTACTACTACTACTACTACTACTACTACTACTACTACTACTACTACTACTGCTACTGCTACTGCCACTGCCTACTGCTACTACTATTACTATTACTATCACTATTACTATTACTATTACTACTACTTTTACTATTGCTATTACTACTACTACTACTACCACTACTACTGCTGCTGCTGCTGCTGCTGCTGCTACTACTACTACTACTACTACTACTACTACTACTACTACTACTACTACTGCTACTGCTACTTCTGCTACTGCTACTTCTGCTACTGCTACTGCTACTGCTACTGCTACTGCTACTGCTACTGCTACTTCTACTACTGCGACTGCTACTGCTACTACTACTACTACTACTACTACTACTACTACTACTACTACTACTACTACTACTACTACTACTACTACTACTACTACTACTACTACTACTACTACTACTAGTACTACTACTACTATAAGTACTAATACTATTCCTACTACTACTACTACTACTACTACTACTACTACTACTACTACTACTACTACTACTACTACTACTACTACTACTACTACTACTACTATTACTACTACTACTATTATTATTGAACGCTGAGCGAGCGGGCTCTGCTCATTGCGGGCGATTTGCACCGTCTGAGCACCGAAAATTGGGTTGGAGCTAATGGTTAGGAGAGGTGAAACTGAATTCAATACTGAAAAGAAAGGTGAGACTTTACAGGATTTGAGATCGCAAAGACAGAGCTAGCTAGCTAATGTCAGACGAGGTGTAGCTTAGCGCTCAGATGTGAAAAGGTCTTCTCCCCGTCGTCCTAATGTGTTTCACTGCGTCCAGCAAACACGCACCGATCTGCAATTGGGTCGTACCGGTTGGCCGTCGCCCATAGTGTCCATCTAGTGGCGTCCCACATGGATCACTTTGCAGAAAGGCAGAGGATCGTAGGAGGATCAGCTGGCTTGGAATAACACATTTATGTGGAGCTTCGGGCAGTGGGCTTGCTGCCGGGAGGGCAACACGCTGATGTCACCTTGGGATGCAGGGGAAGGCGATTCAACTCTTTACAGTATAAGTTCGTTGATGAAGGTTGGCAAGTTTTCCAGCTCTGCGAGTTCCGCTTCGCAGCAAAGGAAGCAGAGCATTGTGCACGCAGACCCCAGGGGTTAGGACTGCAGTAAATCCCATCCTTATGTGCGTGGAAGGATGCGCTGCTCCGAGTCTCGTGGACTCAGCCGGCGGTCCACCGGGGTAAACCGCTCAATGCGGCAATTCCGGCATCCGCACCTCATGCTTTATTGCAACAGGAACGGTTGAGGCCAGCCACAATCCCTTCTACAATGAGTGGGGTTAACGCACCGTTACCGTTTGGGATCTCTGCGCGGCTGCTTGCCTGGAACTGCTCCTCTTCTCAAGGAGAGTCCGGCACCCGTAGGTGCACCCTTGTGTGATTGGCGATGTCTGTATTCAGTTGGGCCAGCTTCCCTGATTCAGGCGCAGGGTAAGGCAGCTTGCAGAAGTAAGGTGCTGGCAAGCCTGTTGAAAGCATAACAGTGGCTGTTTGTTCCGCGAGCTGGCTGGTCTGAAGGTGTGGCGCTCGTATTGCTGTAGCGCAGGCTGTGCCCGCTGAGATGATCTGCAGCGCAGTTCATCACGACGGCCTGCCACTGATGGATTTCAGCAACTGCCTTTCCACTGTCTTTGGACCTGAGCGCTTTGCACCTACGCACCTGGCAGTCCTACTGGCATAGCTGCTTGATTGGGACCTTAGACCTGGGCACCTTGCACCTGTGCACCTGACCTGGGAGTCCTGCCAGCCTGGCTGCTGGTTTGAGACCTTGGACCTGGGCATCTTGCACATGTGCACCTGGGAGTCCTGCCAGCCTGGCTGCTGGATTGGGGCCTGGGCAGCTGCACTGTACCCCCAAACCCTAAACCCAAAACCCAAAACCCCAAAACCAAAACCCCAAACCCAAAAACCCCAAAAACCCCAAGACCCCAGAAACCCCAAAACCTACCAAAAAGCTCACAGAGAAGCTGTCTTTGACTCAGCGATCTGCGGTGAGAGGTTATCGAGCGCTGACAGTGGGGGGGGGGCAGCAGCTGTGCTGCAATTCTGGTCGCAGTGCTGGCCAGTTGCGACTAGTGATGCTCAGAGGATTACTGCATCGTCACTTGATGCTTCAGGGAATGTCAAAAAGAAGATGCTTCAGGGAATGTCAAAAAGAAGATGTATGAACCATGACGGACTTGTCTTTGATCTGAGTCCGTTGCCTTCAGTGATCGCCGGTGGTCATCGGTCGACTGCCACTCCGACGTCGGTGTTGACCTCCAGATATTACAGATATAGTTTGACCCTCGCAAATATATTGGTATTCCCAATGGAATGATAAAAGCCCTTATCATTAAAGCAGATTCCAATCGGTCTTTTTCTCACGTAGAGCGAACAGGGGTAAGCATCCGCATATCGACCCACACATCGGTCGCATAGCCACATTGCGTGTCCATACACACGCCAAGTCAAAGCCCACATATGGCTCCCCCCAGGGTTGGGAGGGTGGGTGAAACAAAATTGCAGCTATATTCAACACACTGCAGCGAGTGTATTCTGCTGTCTTCATATGTTCGTTCATTCTGAATGTGTAGAACTGTTGCCACATTTGCACACATGTCATGTTGCCACACCTGCAACTGAGGAGGGAAATTCGCGCATGCACAAGTATCATAAAAGCCCCATGAAAATCAAGGCGTGGGTGAGCATGGAAAAACATCTCACGATGAAATAGCATGCACGCTGAAGAAACATGAATGAGTAAAATGGCAGGACATTTTTTTTTTACTCGGGTGCTTCTGCATCGAAGCGATCAAACACATCTGTAAAGAGCTATTAGCTAGCTAACAGCTATCTTACAGATATAGTTTGACCCTCGCAAATATATTGGTATTCCCAATGGAATGATAAAAGCCCTTCTCAGCTGGCATCTCACGACACGCGGGATAGAAGACACCGCCAATGGATGCATTTCCAGCTTCGAGCGCGCCATCGGTGAAGATGACGTGGGGCATCGATGGTTCGGATGCACTGAGCCTAATTGGCTTCCCCCGTGTGAATCGTAGCCTGAGAACCTTGAGGGCATCAACCTGTTCCTGACTAAGACTAACGGGGTACCGGCCAGACCCTCCTATAACCCTAAGGTCGCCTAAGGCAATCTTCCCAGCTCTGCCCCACACCTGGGAATCAGCGTATTGCAACTTGCCGACGAAGGTTGGCACCGAAGCGGGAAGAAGCTTGTGGGAGCCCAACGCCCCGTCAAGGAGATGGAGCACCTCCTGGATCCTCGAAGGCTTATTACAGACCTCAATGAAGCCCTGCTCGGCCCGGGTGAGGTCGATCCTGACTCCAAGAACTTCACAAGTCTGGCTGAAGGGTTCCAGCTTGTCACTGGCGTACTCGAAGCCCATAAGAGTCAGGAAGGTTTTGGCGGCAGCAATGCAGGAGGAGGATGTGGTACGATTCGAAGCGAGGGGGAAATCATCAAAGTAGTTCGTCCACAAGAGGGACAGCTCACACCCCGCGGCCTGGATAAACGCACTGATGCGAAGGAACTTGTCGACACTTGCTGCCGCCCCGAAAGGGAGCGTGTGCATGACAAAGCAGGCCGGCTGGCCTTGGTGCCTAATAACCACAACAGTCTTATCATGGTCTAGGGGACTTAGGGGGAGCTGTTTGTAGGCGCTCCGAAGATCAAGGGCGGTTGCAACCAGAGATCCTTCTCCGGCGACCCAAGAGTGGTGGACCTTCCCGCTCAGGATCTCACCCGAGGAGAGCTCAAGTCTGAATGAAGGAGGTACCTCAGGTACACCTGGAGGCTCCATAGCAGGTGGTCCATTGCCGACAGAACTACCTTCTCCACCGCGGTGTAGGCGTTGTTCAAGAGATTCTCCTTGAAGTCATCGATGGGCCTGATCTTCCCTTTCTGGGCCACCGCGAACCTCCGAACTGGCAGCCAGTTCCCAAAGCGCTTGTCCATGTCTGCAGGCGAAAACGGCCCTTCGAGCCATCCCTTCTCCGATGCCTCTTTCATTGTTGTCTCATGGAGCTCCTCTGAAAAATCGCCATGCTTTTCTTGCACCACCTTTGCTAGGAGCTGAGGCCGCAAATGACGGGCCGACTCCATGAGTTCGCCTTCCGACATTGATGCCAGCCGGACGCCCGGCCGAAAGAGCCCGGACTTGGTTCCGTGACCCACTAGCCTAAAGCCTTCGCACATCTCATCGAAGATGGCCATGTCAGGCCACTGTATGCTTTCTGCTATCCTGCGCATCAGGCAAATTCTCTTCGACATGAGAATTGAAGCGACTGCCGGGTGCAGGGAGGCTTTGAGCGCGGACTCTTGTGCACTGAGGTCCGATGCCCAAGACCTCCACGTTTTGAGCTTTTGCAGCCTGTGGGCTGAAAGTTCGTGTGGCGAGAAGGTGAGCTGGTTGAACAAGGACCGGGCGAGGCGGTCAGGCAGTTGCACAAGAGAGTCGTAGGGGTGCCAGAGTTGGCGTGAGAGGTTTGCAAAGGCCAGCGGGGACCTATAAACCCCGAAAACACACAAGAACCTACCCGACCCCCTATCTGCACAACGTAGCAACTTGCTGCCAGCGGGAACGGACTCGACAGTGTGAAGGATGCACTTTTTGCCGTCAACGGGAGGAACCTGGGGCAGCACAAGGCTTTCAACGTGCAAGTACTCAGGGATGAGCTGAGGAGTTGCACGGCCGCGAGGCTGCTTCTGTGCCCGTGCAACTAGTGTTTTCGCAGAACCGGGAGCGCAGCCGCGCTTAAGGCAAAGGGCCTCCACGGCGTCGCACAGAGTCTCGCACATGGCGATGGGGAAGGCGGCCTCGCGAGCGGTGCAGAACTCGCCATCAGGCGTCACACCCCAGGGCTCGTGTGACAAGCATCCACGGCACAAGCGGGCGAGGAGGTGGAAGTCTTCGTGGGAAGCGAGGAAAGCTGTCTTCTTCCGACGCTTGCTGCCGAATGCACAGGCCTCGCAGTGCACCATGAAATGCTGTTCGACCAGGGCCTGAACGGGAGGAAGCTTCCACAACCAAGACCGGGATGGATTCTCGATGGTCCAAGGAATGCCCTCCGCAATCAAAAACTTGATAAACTCAACCATGTGAGCATACAAGGAGTTGGCTTGCTCGAATTTAGCCCGATCCCTTGCGGGGAGATCGGGTAGACCCCAGGGATGGAGTGCATCGCGAAGCGGTGGGGGGCCTGGGCGGCCATCGGGGAGAGGGAGCCCGCGGGCTCGGCTGCATGTACCGCAAGGAGGGGAGATGTGCACGTGTGCAACGCGCTGGCGGTGGCATCGAAGAACATGCCTCAGGGAGGTCCAAGAATCGGCAGAACTGAGGTCGAGGTTCTGGATCGAGAACTTTGGATGATGTCTGTTGGACGCGTGATCGACAGCAAGGGGGACGAAGCCCCGCTTGGCAGCACAGGCGCTGAGCTGAGCGGTGCCAGCACACAGCTCCACGAACAGGGGGCCCTCGGGGGGCAAGTGGAGGGCATGGTGCGTCAGCAACTCTTCTTCCTGGGCGCGCAAGTCAATCTTAGGGAACTTAGGGCAGGGCGGGGTTGGAGGCTTATATAGGGGGCACGGGTTTATGGCGCAAGTCACGCAGACCCTCACGCGTCGGCTGACGCAGCGGGGCTGGAAGAGATGGTAGGCGGAAGCCAAGGGATGAGGCACGTTCACGAGCTTGGCTTGGCAGGGCAGGAGCCAGGCACACGGAATAGGCAACAAGAACGATGCGGTGGTCCTCCCAGGGAAGGGTGAAATGGCGACACGCCTTGGCGTTGAACAACCAGGGAGAGCAGGAGACATCCAAGAGGAAGCCTGTCATGTCAGATCCCTCCACGGACTGGCGGGAGTCGCCGGAGGCATGCTCAACAAACAGTTCGCCACCGCAAAATGCGGACATGGGAGCAATGAGGTTGGGGACATCGCCGTTGTGGGCATCACGATGCAATGTGGCCTGCAAGTTTGCAAAAAGAGAAATGGTCGTGAACTCATGGGATGTGCAGATGGCTTCGACACATCGGCACAAGAACTGCGTCACAAAAGGATAGGCGTCGCAGGAGCGGCGCAGACCGGTCATGGGGCCTTGGCTGAAACAACCGGTGGAAAAACTGTACGAACCAGGATGGGAGCTGGCTCGTGGCGGCGGGTCATGAGGCAAAATTTCCAACAAGCGCAAAACTCGATCAGCAGTGACAACATGGTCGGCAAGGAAAATTTGGGCCAAGGCTTCTGGATCAGGGGACTGCGACGGCCCGGCCACCAGGTGTGTACCTGTCTGCAAGATTTACGCTTGGGACAATCGACGGCCGCATGGCCGGGTTGGAAGCAACCTTTCACAGCACAGACGTGGGCTCCGCGGGGGCAAGGAGAGTTGCTGGCGGAGTGCTCGCACTTCTTGAGGTTAAAGTTGTAACAGAAGCGCTGCTTGGTGGTGGGGTGCATGCCGACGCAGCCAAGGGCAAGCAGAGCTTGAGGCACCCGTGCAAAATCGCCTGGAGCGGACTGCGATCGCGACTTGCCTTTGCCGCGGCCCTTCGGACGGCCGCGTTCCTGCCCAGCTGACTCAGGGCGGCGCTTCCTGGAGGGGCCTTGGCCATCAGAGCCAGACACAGCAAAGGGACGTGGCTGAAGAAGCGTGAGGAACTCGGTGTTGGCAATGCATCGCGGGAACCCCACATCACATGGACGGCCTGTGGCCGTGGTCTTGATGCCGGACCGGGTTTCCTCGCCGAGTAACAAGAAGAACTTCTTGTCTGCCTGCTCCAGTTGTGCCAGCGAAACCTTCGCGTAGCCCGGTGGGGGCGTCTGAAGGCGTGCCTGGAAGAGTTTCTCGATGAGGGTCTCATGGAGGTCGTACGCCAGCACGCCCGCTTGATCCAGCGCGAGGCCTCGGCGCATGAGGCAGTAGCGGATCAGGAGCTCGCTGGAGGCATCGCAGGGAGCGATCTTGTCTTGCTTGGTGAGGCGTAGGGCGCCATGGGCATCAAAAGTGAGGCCGGTATCCCGCCGTGAACTAGATGTCAACTCATGCTCGCGACTCACGCAGACCGCCCACTCGAAGTAGGCCAGGCGGTCTTGGTCGTACATCTGTACGGCCCTGTCAACCAGGCTGTCGCCTGGCTCATAGGGCCCGCGGATCTGGAACCCTGTGATGCGCTGCTGTTGTTCCTTCAGGCGCTGTGCTCGGTCTGCGGCAGGGAGCTTGCGTGCCGAGGTCTCGTCGGTGGACTCGACCTGGCTTTTGATGTCACCGAGTAGCTCTCAGCAAAGAGCCGGCGAGCGCTCGCTAGCTGCTTCACAGTGGGAATACCCCCCAAAAGTTTGGCGATGAGATCAGTGAGAGGTTTTTCGTCGGAGGCCCCGGGCGCATAGTTGCAGGAGAAGGCGAACAGCGCCATCGTGTCGAGGCCAGCCGATTTGAACTTGTCATAATCATCGGCTGCTAGGCCGCAGGCCAGTGCCCGGGCCTTGAACACTGCAGTGCTATCAGCTACCGCCATCCTGAGCAAAACTGCAACAAGCACGGAGCTACGAAGGTTTTGACATTCGTCATGCTGAACTCATGCAACAGCCACTCGCTAGGAACTAGAGGGCGTAGAGCACATGCTGCTAGCACCGGGTGCCCACATTGGCAAGGCCCACATTGGCCCGGAATGCGAACACAAAACAAGTCTTGCCCAAAGATTCATGCTCGGACAGGCAGAGTTCGGGGACATACAACACGTGCGAGAGAGTCCGAGAGAAAAGCATTTCGAAATGATCGGCCAAGACATCTGGGGGCATACAACACATGCGTCGAATTGAGTGCCCACATTTGGCACGGCCCGCGTGGGCACGAATACAAAAGCATCCTTGTGCCTGTAAACACGACCAGGAGCTAAAGGCATACAACACATGCGGTAAATCCGGGTGCCCACACCTGGCACGGCCCACATTTGGCCCAAAGTGCATGGGAGCATGTACCAAGAATGGCTTCCGAGCTCTCCCCTGACATCTTTTGGCACACTTCCCCGATCGCCGCTCAAAACTGGCACATTGCGGCCTAAAGATTACTGAAACAAGTAGCGCACACGGGGTACAGGAAGGCCGGCCTCTCACTCAGGAGCTCCATGTTGTGGGACACGTTGCGGCCGCATCGCAGCTTGTTCCCCCCCTCCTCGAGAACCTTGTGGATGCATCGTGAGAACCGGTGTCAGAATCCGAGGGGTCATCATCACCCCATGGGCCAGCGACGGCATCGGCTGCGCCTCATCCGTAGCCCCGGCATCTTCTTCGTCAGCTGAGCCCTCATAGGCTCAGGGCTCTCCGGGACTTCTTCGGGGAGGTCCGGCTCTGCGCCAGGGTTCACGAGCATGCCACTTCGAGTAACATCAGGACGGAAAAGGTCATCCCTAACCTCTTTCAGCATCGAGCACATGAGGCGTAATGGACTGGCCATGGCATCCCGGGAATAGATGACCATGCTGCTGTGGCCACATCGCCCCGTGTGACGGTGTTCTTCAAGAGATTCCGAAGCCAAAGAGCAGCTGATCCAACTCCAATGGGGTGCGTCGACCAGCACCTCCGTGGGCAGGAGCAGGAAGCAGAAATGAGGTTCCCTGGGGGGACGTGTCCTCCGAGAGCCCCTCGCTCTTTCGCACCTCAAGCCAGACGGGAATCCAAGAGGCCTCGCCCAGACACAGCAGCGGATGACGATGGGGAGTGCCCTGACCTTGCGAGCCAAGCTGACACTGGTACTCGGAAGCAATGACGGAGCAAGCCGTACTTGCAGCAGTTGGCAAGCGTGATGCGGAGATTGAAGCTAGCAAAGTTGAGGGTGTCCGACTGTTAGAGCCACACAAGCGGTCAGCCAGTTTCGCCCTAACGACGCTTCGCGCAGAGCGAGGTCCTGGGAGCTGTCCAGAAAATGGAGCGGCTCCGAAACCTGACCACCCGCTTTTTTTCTCCTTGTGTTCATTCTTCGAGCTCTCTCTAAGGTGGAAGTGCCCAACCCTCGCCATAACACAGCTGAGAGGATTGGAGATCTAATTTTCCGGTCGGAGCCAGGGCCTACGCTGCGGGGGAGGGTGTGACTGCGATGTCGAGAACTCCAACTTCTCGACTTCTTGGTAAAGCACCTCGACGTCGGCGCATCGCGGGCCACGAGTGCGGAGCTTCTGAGCGTGATTTGAGGCCTCCACCCGAGTTACTCTGAGAACGAAGAAAACCAAGAAACGAAACGCAACCATTGATAATACTACAGCGTTTCTTACCTATGATATTAATGGGAATGGACTCTTAGGCAGTTAAGATGTCATGAGATTGATGGTACGAAAGCAAAAGTAAAGGTTAACCGCTCATGTCCAGTCATTACCAACACACTTTTCGAGCGTTTTCCCTCAATAATACTCCGAAGTGTGTAAAAAAACGAATATACTGAGCGAAAGACCACGAAGTACAACAAAAAAAAGAATGATGTAATGTCAAGATACGACCCTAATATGCAAAGTTCCCTGCAGGAACTTGACCACCCATCCAAATAAAAGAAAAGAATGAAAGAAACCAAAATCAAAGATAAAACCATTAAAATAGAATGACATTGAAAAACTTCTCATCAAGCAAAATTGGATAAAGACAAGTGAATGAAATGTGTGAATTTAGTGCGCTTCTTTTCATGCACTATCACTTGCATAAGGCCCGTCACTTTCACTTCTCCTTTATGCGTCGCCAGCTCACTTGACAAACGTGAAGAACATGTAAGTGAATCACAAACGCGACCCTGGAGAAAGAATCCCAAACTGCTCGCAGGCCGCCTGGTCAGGCGAGATTCCGCCGGGTTGATGCTGCCGGTTGGCAGCAGCAGTGTTTGCTTCCGTTTTTTTGCTTTTCTCTTATGGTGTGTTGTTCCGCACTGTTCGGGCTCCGTTGGTCAACTTCCCAAAACAGCTTTAATCTACAAAGTCCCAACAACGGTCAAGGACTGTAAGAGCCAGTCTGGGCATGGGCGCCCACAGCTGAAGTTCTAACCCTTTCAACAATCAACAACCAAAGCAAAAACACAAAAACAGCAAATTTGCAAGCTATCAACCCGTCTTAACCTCTTTTTTTCACGTCTCCAACTCCACAACAAACAAAAAACAGCTTGTTTTCTCCAGTTTAAACAAGTTTGCTGCAAAACAACAAAATTGTCCAAAACTTCTTGGTTTAAATTAAATTTGCATTATTATTTTAAAGCGTTCTTAAAAGGCTTTTCATGGGCCGTGACAATGTGGTTCTTTAATTTATGGACTGCAGTAATTTTATAGTCTAAATTCTATTAACGCGGAATGTTCCAAAACCGAGCTCTGTGTGTAGTGTGTTTCTAACATATTCTATACTTGTGACGGTTGCGCAGTTGCTGTGGCAATTTCTGCACGTTCCGGATTGTGTGCACGTGCAGGGCATTTACTTGGTGGATTCACTTGGGTTTTTTGCCTGACGGCAAAATGGGGGTGCGAAGCACTCTCTGCTTGGCATCAAATCAGGGGGCCACATGGATTACATGGCCCCATTACCTACGACGGAGCTAAGTATGGCCGAAATTTCGGGCGCGGCATGGTGTTCTAGGGCCATAGGGCCAGATTAACAAACCTGTCGGCAGTCTCATCAAGAGTCTCATATTGCCCAGCAGCGTCAGCAGATCCTCAGCAGAAGATCATCAGCAGCATCATCATCATCATCATCATCATCATCATCATCATCATCATCATCATCATCATATCAGATCATAGCATATCATATATCATCACATCGTGTCATTGTATCATCATCATCATCATCATCATCATCATCAATCATCGTCGTCATCATCATCCTGCCAGGTCCTGAGTCCTGAGCCCTGGCATCTTGGCAGTCCGGCTTCCCGGCGGTCCTGGTGCTGGCACGCGGTCCTGGCCTGGCATTGCCGCCGCATTGCCTGGCATTGGCATCAATCATAATCGCATCATCGCATCGCATCATGAATCATTATGCATTGTGAAGTATGAATCATCAATCATCAGTCATCAATCATTCATTCAGTCATGACTCATGACATGAGATCATGATGAGCCACGAGTCATGAGTCATGAGTCATGAGATCATCATGAATCAGGAACCATGAATCAGTCACAGTCACAGCCACAGTCACGGCAGTCACGTGAGTCATTGCGGCCGCCGCAACCCATCGGCCACAAACACGGGTCATGAACAATGAAAAACTGCCTTGGTTTCCTTTCAGCTTTGTTCGCGTCGAATCCAGCCAAGACTTCAAACTCAGCCCATCTTTCTTTTCTGCTGTTTGGCTTGACATGCATTTTTTCCTGTTTGCAGAAAAGGCTGAAACAAAACCACCAGCAATGAAAACAGGACTTCAAAGAACTCTGTGTTTTTCAGCTGTCCTGGCTGACACATGCAGGCCACAGAGATGCAAATTGGAGATGCTTTTTTGCTACGTTTTTTAAAGCAAATTGTTTTCAAAATTTCAAATCTGAAAAAACGTTTAACACACAGAAAAAAACTGTTTCGAAGCATTTCAAAGTCTGCAATATGAATAATTTTGGAATGCCTTGTTTAGAACAAAATCAAGCTCTAAGGGGGGGTTCGACATCAAGCACCTACAACCTGTGCAGTGGCTTAAGTTCGGTACGGAGGTCCCGTAAGTGAGAGTTGCTCCTTCTGCAAGGAACGGGGGGAAGATATGGCGTCCACCTTTTCCACGTGTTTGGCTTGGTTTGGACTGATGAACCGTTGAGACGGAAGAGTCAGGGCTTGGTCACTTCCCACTATGCGACAAAGCGCAAAGAAGTCAGGAGACCGGCTTTCACCGTGGAGCAGATCAAGGTGTTGGAAAGGATCGTCATGAGCGGAAGGTCTTCTGTTAGGATTTTCCCGATTTACAGCATGCCTAGATATTATGTTTTGCAGTTGTTTTACCTGTTGCTTATGACTTGAGTGATTCGAATCTGCAGGCGTCTTTACGGATTCAAAACACGTCGTTGGAGTCTCTAGCATATTTTGGGTTGCGTTCGGGGGCCCAGGCTTTCTGATCTTTGTTTTCTTCTTTCGGGGTCCTGTGGGAACTGAGCCGTAGCTTGCGCCATATTGACCTGCCGGCTGGACAGCCGGTTGCGTCCAAGTGACTTTTGTGAACACGGCAACTGTTGCCAGTTGCGATTCGCTTAAGAGTTCTTGGACAGCCTGTATCTTGAACAAGCCAGCCAACCGAACTGAATATGGGTGGCAAGCTGTCTTGGTAGGGATCCACACTGCTTTCCAGAAGAAGCTGGAAACTCTTCATACGGTTGAGCAAGTTTGGTGCTTCGGAAACACTTGCTTGAAAGATCAAGGCTTGAAGGAGAACTTTATAGATCTTGGTATAGACCGAGTGTGTGAGGAGGCAATTCCGTTTGCAAAGCAACTTCGCTTCGTCCAGGCAGAGCAAGAGGGTCCAAATTTCAAACGAGACCTTGGACTGATCGAATTGTTGGCAGAGGACAGCCGGCCGACGTTCAAGAGAACGTTGCAGTCTTCGCCATCTGTTATCGATCTGTGTGAAACGCAACCTGCCAAGTTCCAAAGATCCTTAGTGCCCCAGATCGAAGCTGTGGATCTTGAGAGTGAGTGAGAGATTCCCGAAGTGCTTGATTGCTGCTGTGATGGCATCGCAAGATGACATAAGCGATCTTGAGGTTGACTCTGGCCAAGGCGTGCACTTGCCCCAAGGTGCACAGGCGAGCCAGGCTTCAGCGTCAGCAGCACAGAATCCGTTCAGCCCTGGTAGTCTGCAAGCGCAGGGTATGTATGTGACGCCAGATGATATGATGACCATGATGAGACAGATGATGGAGGCGACGACTGCAGCAGCAACCGCTGCACAGGCTGCCCTGAGTGCAGCAACGTCGCAAGGCAATGCAAAGCAGGGAATTGCAGGCAGTGACATGGCCCGCATTCTCCCGAAACCCGATGTGTTTAAGCCTGCAGCTGATCCAGCGAGTGCCTGCCCAGTCAGGCTTCGAGGCCCTGAGGCAGCTCATCCAGCTGTTTCAGCCGACGTCGAGAACGCGATCGCTTGGCATCTTGAGTGCAATCACCAGCATGAACCACTTCAAGGGCAATGAGCCATTGTTGCCTCAAGTCTTAGATGGAACGTATCTTTGAGGAGTATGAACGCAGTAGCGGCAAGAAATTGGACGATGATTTCAAGACCAGCATTTTTCTTCGTTCAATCACCCAGAGCATGCGCAACCATCTCGCGACAATTCTTACTGAAGATGTCACGTATGATGCCTTGAGGGAAGCCGCCTTGCGTTTTGAAAGAATGAATGCCAAGTGGGATGCTCGCAATCTGTTTGCAGGAGACAGCCTCTTTGCCAACAGGAGGCAACCTGCAGGGCCTAACGATGGGCCCGTGCCGGTGGAGGTCGATGCATTGCAGCGCAA